ATGATTATATTTTATGTTTTTACCAGTGTAGTATGTTGTGTATTTGGTAAATAATGTACTTTGTACGATATAGATATTTGACTAGCTTTTTGTGTTAGAATGAGAACAATGGTCATTTGCCCTATTTAAAAAAATATATAGCAAAAATCCAGATTAACTGTTTGTTTGTGCTTGTTTTTTTGTTGTTGTTTTTTCTTTCACAGGAAGGCACACAATGTTTCAGTTAAATAATAACAGATTCAATTTAGAAAACAATGGCAATTTAAAGGTTGTAAGAACACTTTGTACATAATACAGAATTTACCTTTTTAGTAATTAATTCTAAACTAAACAGATCATCTAGTAAAGTAGCAATAGAGTTACTAGTGGTAATAGTAGTGTCATAAATAGTAGTAATGATAGTATTGTGTATATAGTAGTAGTAGTAGTAGTAGTAATATTATATTTATTGTAACTTTATCTATAGATTAATCAATTCTGATATTAAAACCTGAAACAGGATAATACAGTCTGACCTAAACATAAAAATCAAATATCATCTCAATGATTTACTTTGCTACACAGAATAAATTATGACACCTGAAATGTTAAAATAAAAATATTTGTTCATTGCAAAAACAGTACTTTTATCTTTTTTAGCTTTTGACTCAGTTGCGATGTGAAATTATTCAAAGTAAAAAGTTTAAATGATTGTTCATGTTTTATCTCAATTTTTTACAGAAAACGTCCCTTTTTCTCTTTTATTCAGAGACTGAACACAGTGACATGGACACATCCTGTGAACAGTAGCAGAACTGGACACACATCCTGGGGACAATAGCAGAACTGGACACACACCATGTGGACAGTAGAACTGGACAAAAATCCTGGGGACAATAGTAGAACTGGACACACACACATCCTAGGGACAGTAGCAGAACTGGACACATCCTGGGGACAGTAGCAGAACTGGACAAACATCCTGGGGACAGTAGCAGAACTGGACACACATCCTGAACTGGACACACACACATCCTGAACTGGACACACACCCTGTGGACAGTAGAACTGGACACACATCCTGAACTGGACACACACACATCTTGAACTGGACACACACCCTGTGGACAGTAGAACTGGACAAACACACATCCTGAACTGGACACACACCCTGTGGACAGTAGAACTGGA